TTGCATTGACTAGATGGATGACAATATTCGTTTATATGAACGGTACTCATAGCCCAAGGCTGTGTTAGTGCTCCAGCCCCTGACAAAATGTAGTCTGAAGAGCTCTACACTGTCTGTAGACATTCCACGTAATATCACACTGACGCATGACATCATTGTCACCTGTGTCACCAACGCCCTGTCGTCCTCAGCTCACACTTATGGCTGTAGGCAGGATCCCATAAAAATAGCTGAAGAATGGGGTAAAAGCCTGAGCTTGGTTGTTGGATGGGTCAATGCAAGCCACAAATGGATGCAGTTGCGTTACAGATTCACTCTGGCAGTGCACCTGGTCATCTACTGTGTGTCGACAGAGCAGTAGCCCAAGGTTAGAGTATATACAGACTCATGGGCAATGGCCAAGGGGGTGACTGGCCTGGCTGGGCTGGTCAAGGACCTGTCGGAAGAAAGCCTGGAAGATGGAGGGCGAGGAAGTCTGGGGAGGAGTCATGTGGGCGGGCTGTCCATGGAGTGTGGAGATCACCGTAGCACGTGCTGTCACCCGGCAGACAACGTCCACCACAGGCGACAAATCTGTCAACTAAGTGACAAAAGGACTCCATCACTTGATGTTGGTTGGCCCTGTCTGCCACCACGCAGGGCTGGCACAAAGGGCCAAGGACAAAATAGCCACGGTAGCAGAGATGGAGGTTCTGCAAGAGCCAGCAGCACGGAATCCCACTTCCCAAGGTCGATCCTGCAACTGCTGCCACCACATGTCCTACTGGCCAGGAGACCCAGGCCCCGGCTCTTCTCTGGCGCTGCTCCCCAAGGGTGGGAGCAGGGTGGCAGTGACGGGCTCCTTCCACCCAGAGGCGCCAGCGATTTGTTCTCATGGGGGCCACATTCTAGGTACAGGTTTGCCCTCCTGTCTGCAGGGCCTCAGAGAGTGCCACCATCCAAGTGCTTACAGAGCGTGTCCTCTGCGTGGCATTCCACGTAACGTCACTGAGACAGTGAAAGAGGTGGGAGGGTGGGCCCAGACCCACGGGAGCCGCTGGTCACATCACCCTCTGCCACCCACAAGCTGCCGCCCACCGAAGAAAGAGACGCTCAGAGACGGTGTGGATGGGGAGCTATCCCCCAGGCCCCCGCACACACAACTTAACCGAAGTGCTTCCCATGGT